AGACTCAGACTCCTTGAGCAGGGACCCAGCCTCCTTGAACAGGACAGTTCACCACAATAAATTGTCCTCTGTCCTGCACAACTTTCAAATGTCCTGCCAAACCTTCATTTAGGAAAAAAATATGTTTGTCATCTGTCTTATATACAAACATAATTTAACTTTTCCCCGGTTTTAATATAAACTAAATTTTCTAGAAAACTATAGACCAGGTTACTCGAGGGAAGTTATACTTTGTTTAGTTCACTATTTTGGAAAATCACTATAGACCATGTTTCCCACAGGTGAGGCACCAGAACAGCACGTCCATGTCTGTCTGCATTAGTAGCAGGATATAAATATATTTAGACTTTGACTCAAGATGCCAGATATAAACTGTTGGCAAAATTCAGTTGAATATTGTCATCTATTAAATCCAAACTTACTCATGGAACTTAGGTAGAAGCATCATCTGGTGTAATCCAGTCTGGGCTTTTACAACGGGATATACATATTCTATTATTATGAATTATTCTCATTTCCCTCACTTCTTCTGTATAATAAAAACTGGGTATCATATTGAATTTTTTTTTTTTTTCCCCCCCGGGGGAACCGTCTCCTAGGGACGAACCCGCCCCTTCCCTCGGCCTCAATTTCCCGCTTTGGGAAATGGGAGCAGCCAGGCACAAACTTCATGCTCTGGGGCACCCGAGAGAGGCCCAGCGGCCCCTAGGGCCTGTCCTCCACACCACGCCTCAGTTTCCCCAGTTATCAATGATCTCCAAACGACCTCTACTCCGGCCCTCCTGCCGCTACAAACCCAGCCAGAAGAGACGTCTCCCAGTTGCTATGGGCTACGGCGCCTGCGCAGAGACTCCACAAGGCTGCGCCTCGGCGTCTGGGGCGCATGCGTCTCGTTCACCCCGGCCCGCTCGCGGTTAAGGGTGCCTCCCAGGATGCCCCGCGGCTGCGAAGCGGAAAATGGCGGCCTCCTAGCCGCGTGGGTTGCTGGCCCGGTGGGTTACCAAAGTGCACCCGGGCCCGTGCTTCCTCCAGGCGTCGGTGGCTGGCACTGGCATCCACAAAAAGAGATCAGGTAAAGCAGTAGAGTGACGGATAGGAAAGCTCGGTCGGGCTACGCGTCCCCTTTTTACCGGATTGGATGCTGCGCAGGTCAAATCAAGCTTTAAAGGGGACGAGTGTCCCCTCGCCTCATCGGCTGTGGCCTCTGAGCGCCATTTATGGTCGCTGAAGGAGGGGGTGCGGTTGAGCCGCCCCCTCCTGTCTTAGAAGATTCTGTACTGAAGCAGCCGTGGGATAGGAGAACAAAGTCCACATTCCTGCGCTCCCCGCTGCTTGTTGCTCGTGCTGAAAAGGAAGCCCCCTCACTCCTTATGGTTTTGGAAGCTCCTTGAAGTCCCTGTGTATTTCCTACCCGGTGTGTCGTCATCCTTCCTTCCACCGTCTCTCACCCAGTTTTCTTGCCTGCCTCGGACTCCTGAGCTAGTGCTGAGCTGAAAGTGCCCGGCCCCACTCCACGTAGATTCACCCCGGGTCCCATCCACCAGTGACAGTGATTGGGCCGCTGCTGCCCAGGGAGGGGAGCTTGAGCTTGGCCAGGCCCATCAGTTCCCACAGCGAAATGCGACCCACTGCCCGTTATAAGGGACTCTGGCAGTTGGGTCTGTCGGGTGCAGGTAAAAGGCCAGGACAACTAGGAAGTCCTAGAGAAAAAGGAAGACCCTGACGGGACTGTGGTGGAGGTTCAAGCTATGGGAGTGGAGTGTGTTATTCCAGGGATCAGGAGGCCCAGGCCTGCGAGCCTAGCTCCCTTCTGGATGTTTACCTCCTGCAGTTTATCCATACCGGTCTCAGTTTTCCCTGGTTGTGCTGCCCCTCCACAAACGTTCCGCAAAATCCACCCCATGGGCTAATTCGGAAATCTGAGAACTGTCCTTGGATCCTGCCTTTCCTTTCTCTTGAAGCCATATCCAGCTCATGCCTTCAGGATAAACCTCAAACTTCAACCTGACACTCAAATTTCCATGACCTGACTCCTGGTAATGCCTCCGGTCTCACCTCCTCACTCTTCACACTCACTATGCATTTTATTCATTCCAAACTACTTTCTGGTCCTAACACTCAGCCTGCTAGTTCATGCCCCCATGCTTTGGCAGGTGCTGTTCCCTTTGTCTAGAGTGCCATTCACGCCTTCTCCCTCCCTCTTGCTCATCTGGTGGACTCTTCCTCCTTCAATTCTAAATCTTCTCCAAAATCCCCTCGCCCACACATACCCACGGAGATTGGCAAGCCTCCCTTCTCTAGATCACAGCCTCTCATATTCATTCATTCCACAAACATTTAAGCACCTACTATGAGCAAGGCCTTCTGCATTTCCTGGGTTGGATTTCCACTGTGCTATATTTGTTTGCCTGTCTCCCTCACTGCTCAGGGAATGTCACTAATCTGTAAATTCCTAGTGCTGAGCACAGTCTCTGGCACACAGCAGGTGTCCAGTTACTATTTCATAAAGGAGTGGAAAAGCAAACACAGGAGGAAGGGAAAAACCTAAATATACAGTCTTCCTTTCCATTCTCACCTCTGTTTACAATCAATAAATGGAAAATCCTTTGAAGAAAAACCCTGGGCCTAGAAGATGAGACATAACACTGGCCTCATGAGGTAAATCTAAAGGCGGGTAGGCTCCTGCCATTTGACAACAGAAGAGTTTGCTCAGTTTTATGCTGATGGCTCCCTGCAAGTAATCGGCTCCTCTGAAAGGAAAAGTACCCATCTAACCCTTCTCCCAGAGGAATTTTCCTCTCCCACAGCACTTTCCAAATTTCCATTCCTGAGCTTCTATACTTTTTGATATTATAAGCAATAACAACACCCACAACAAACCAGCAATCAGGTCCTCAGAGATCAGAGGGCTGAAAAGGGGTCTTCAGCCCCCATCTTTGAACTTAGAATGAAAACATTTCTTTGGAACACTTTGTTCCAAAGAACTGAAACTGTGAGACTCCCACCTGTTCCTGTGGACAACTCATCCATCCTTCAGAAGACAGTGTGCAGGAGGGAAGCGTGGGTTAGAGTGTCAGAGGAATAGCTCTTAGAAGGCCAAATTAGCCCAGGGATATGGTGAGTTGGAAAGAAAAGAGGCTGTTGCTAGGCCACCAGCATGTCCCTCCCTCCCTCCCGCCAACTACCCCCCCGCCCCCCAACCAAGGCTGTACTGCGGGCTAGAGAAAAGCTCTGGACTTCAGGAAGTGCAGGTACTGCTGAACCCAGGCTCAGGAGAGGCAGGGCAGGAGCAAGTACTTTGGGGGGAGACAGAATTGGGGAGCTGGGCCAGTTCTTATTCTCTAAGAACTGGTTGCTTCATCTGGAGACTGGAAATAGCCCAACAGTTGGGAGAACTGAATGAGATAATGGACATATGCTAGAGCCAGTAGTGCTCTGCACTCAGCAGGGTCTCAGAGAATAGGGCTTAAAGTGAGCCTGCTATGTGCTGGGCAGGCACTGTACAGGCTGCTTTACAAGACAGTGGCCTAAGCTAATAACAATTACAACACCATCACTTGTGACCCAGAATTTCCTCTTGGAGGAATTTGTTACAGTGACGTCCCAGGGCCTCAGGTTCCTGAGTGATGACTCAATTCCTCAGCAGGATTTCTGATCATTAGCAGGAAAGTAGTTGATAGAAACAGCTTCAGGGCAGAGAGACAGTTCCTTGTGGAAGAAGGCTCTTTGTCTTCTGCCTCTAATTTCAGCTTTCCTGGCCTTTCATGGGCCCACTTCAAGGAGCAAAGTGTGGGTCCAACCTCCTTGAGCGCAGTCATGGGCACTCCTCAGAAGGAACAAGGGGCTTTCATGATGTCTGGGTGAATAAAGTCAGCCCTCAAACCTGGCCCAGGGTGGGGGTCAGAAGAGGAAACCCCAGTTCATACTTCACTCCCAGAGCGAAGCACATTGGAAGGAGACTGCCTGGGGAATCCCAGAAGGGTCGAGGCAGGGAGGGCAGGAGACAGGGTGAGAGCAGGTCTTGCTCATCCCAGTTCTAGCCAGGGCCCCAGCTCTTACCTGCAGGTCTTGTGCTGCTGCGTGTCCTTCTCCCTAGAAGGTGGTGGCCCTAGTCCCAGCTGGGTTCCTGCTCTGGGAAGGGTAGTGCCCGCCTCCTGCTCAGCTGACTCACCTTGGACTGGGATGGGCCCAGGTAAGTCCCTGTGATTGTGTAAACAAGGCACGTCCCCAGGTCCAGAAGAGACCTTTGGCCTCAGTTTAGATTTGGAAGTGAGGTTAGGACACACACAGCTGCTGCTGAGATGGGTATGTACCAAGACTTGGCATTTTCTTGAAGAAATCTGTGTTAGGCTTCGACACCAGTCCTGCTGATTGTGGGGAAGGCAGTTACCTGGAGGGCAGTTTGATGGGGATCCAAGGTCTTAAAAAATGGCGATTCCTTGTGACCCAGCATTTCTCCTTCTAGGAATTTGTTACAGTTGAGATCCCAGGGCCTATCACTGTTGCTTCTAATAGGGAAAATCTAGAAATCTTAAATGCCCATCACGTTGGTCTCGTTAAATAAACCATTATCTGTGGAAGATCACTGAGTTGTTCAAGTCATTTAAGGAGGAAGCTAGGAAGAAGTGTTCCTGAGATGCTAGTGAGATGTTGGAAAATCAGTATTGTGATTCTTGTCTTATATTCTGTTTTCTTTTTTGAGAAGTGGTTGTGCATTGAAAACAGTCTAGGAGGACATGTTAAAAAATGTGCTGAGTGTCTCCAGAGGGTGGGATTGAGGGTAAGGTTTTCACTTTGTACTTTTGTGTGTGTTTCAAGGTGGTGGTGCTTTTTATTTTTAAGTTGGCCTTTGCTCTGAACACTTATTTTTGTAAGGGGGAAGCAAATTAACTTTAATTGTTTTAAAAAGGAATTTAGATTGATTGTTTTCTGGGAGGGGAACTAAGGAGCTGTGTGTTGAGATGGGAGGGGAATTTGTTTTTATAGCACATATTTTGATGCCTTTTAAATTTTGAAAAATTTCAATGTATTACTTGTCTCAGAAAATAATCATATAAAATTAAAGTTAAACACAAAAAGGAGGAGGGATTTAGTTTAGATCCTCATGGGTTTGGTTGGGTGAGGTGCTGTCACACTTGGTGCCTGGGGAGGGACTGTGGACCCGTGTGTTGAGCAGTCCTTTGAGGAATGACGCAGGGCACCTACTCAGGGCGGGACGAGTATCGGGGCTGCTCACCAGGCTAGGCAGGCCCACGTCACAGTCCCCATGATGAACTTGGGCAGAGCTTCACTAGCCTTGGGCGTCAGATCCTCAATTCAGTCCCCAAAGGGGACACTGCCTGCCTTTGAAGAGTTTACAGTGGAGAGTCCCTGGCAGGAACCAAAACAGGAACAGTAACAAAGACAGTTGCCACTGATTGAGCACTTACCGCCCAAGGAGCATAGATACTGCCCCAGGCACTTTAAAGGCATCTTCTCAATGACTCCAGAGACTTTTCATATCTTCCTTCCTTGCAAAGTAGGTATGATTAGCACCATTCCTGCAGGTGGGGCAACTGAG